GGTGCTCCTGGACCTCTCAGCGGCCTTCGATACCGTCGACCACGGTATCCTTCTGGGGCGCCTTGCGGAAATGGGTCTTGGGGGCACTGCTCTGCAGTGGCTCCAGTCATTTCTGGAGGGCCGTACCCAGAAGGTGTTATTGGGGGACTCCTGTTCTACACCACAGCCTTTGACCTGTGGGGTTCCACAGGGCTCTATACTGTCCCCCATGCTGTTTAATATCTACATGAAGCCGCTGGGTGAGATCATCCGGAGTTTCGGGGTGCGGTGTCATCTGTACGCAGATGATGTCCAACTCTGTCACTCCTTCCCACCTGCTACTAAGGAGGCTGTCGAGGTCCTGAACCGGTGCCTGGCCGCTGTAATGGTCTGGATGAGGGCGAACAAACTGAAATTAAATCCAGACAAGACAGAGGTACTCCTGGTCAGTCGCAAGGCCGAACAGGGTATAGGGTTACAGCCTGTGCTGGACGGGGTCGCACTCCCCTTGAAGGCGCAGGTTCGCAGCTTGGGTGTGACCCTGGATTCATCTTTGAGCCTGGATCCCCAGGTTTCAGGTGACCAGGGGAGCATTTGCACAGCTTAGGCTCGTGCGCCAGCTGCGCCCGTACCTTGGGAAGTCTGACTTGGCCACGGTGGTACACGCTCTGGTCACATCCCGCCTTGACTACTGCAACGCTCTCTACGTGGGGCTGCCCTTGAAGACGGCCCGGAAGCTTCAGCTAGTCCAGCGCGCGGCAGCCATGTTGCTAACAGGAGCAGGACGCAGGGAGCATACAACGCCCTTGTTGTTCCAGCTCCACTGGCTGCCGATCTGCTACCGGGCCCAATTTAAGGTGCTGGTGTTAGCCTACAAAGCCCTAAACGGTTCCGGCCCAAAATACCTTTCGGACCGCATCTCGGCCTATGAGCCCACGAGGGCCTTGAGATCGTCTGGGGAGGCCCTTCTCTCGATCCCGCCTGCTTCACAGGCACGTCTGGCGGGGACGAGAGAGAGGGCCTTCTCGGTGGTGGCCCCCCGGCTGTGGAACACCCTCCCTGTTGACATCAGACAGGCGCCCTCCCTTATGTCTTTCCGTAAGAGCCTAAAGACATGGCTATTTGAGAAGGCATTTAATTGAGTGCTATTAACTGGTAATGACAACGGGAACGGAATATGGATTACGAGTTTGGTTATGATTCTATGACGAGACGGAGCGGATTATTTAGTGTAATTATATTACTGTGTATTAGTGTTGTTGATTTTTCGTTTTTGCCTTACTGTAAATTGTCTTTTATATGTTGTACACCGCCGCGAGTTGCCCTAGGGCTGAGAGCGGCGGTCAACAAATGCAGCAAATAAATAAATAAATAATAAATAAATAAGACAAGTCAAACCCGCATTTTGGACTTTAGGAGAGCTAATTTCCAAAAAATGAAGGAAACGCTGAGCAGCATTCCGTGGACACAGATACTAAAAGACAAGGGAGTTACGGATGGATGGGAATTTCTCAAGAGTGAAATACTCAAGGCGCAATTGCAAACCGTGCCAACAAAGAGAAAAAATAGGACAAGTGAAAAGAAGCCAGAATGGATGTCCAAAGAACTTCTAACTGTGCTAAGACACAAAAGAGACATGCACAAGAAGTGGAAAAAGGGAGAAATCACCAAAGAAGAATTCAAACAAATAGCCAACACCTGTAGGGAAAAGGTCCGCAAGGCTAAAGCAAAAACCGAGCTCAGACTTGCCAGGGACATTAAAAACAATAAAAAGGGCTTCTATTCTTATGTCAGTAGAAAAAGGAAAAACAAGGAGGCAATAGGACCTCTTCGAGGAGAAGATGGGGCAATGCTGACAGGGGATAGAGAAAAGGCAGAACTACTTAATGCCTTCTTTGCCTCAGTCTTCTCACAAAAAGAGAGTCTTCAACCTCAGCAAGATGGAGTGGATGAGGGATTGGAGGACATCCAACCCCAAATTGGGAAAGAAGTCGTCCAGGAATACTTGGCCGCTCTTAATGAGTTCAAGTCCCCAGGGCCAGATCAACTACACCCCAGAGTATTGAAGGAACTAGCGGAAGTCATTTCGGAACCATTGGCAACCATCTTTGAGAGTTCTTGGAGAACGGGAGAAGTTCCAGCAGATTGGAGGAGGGCCAATGTGGTCCCAATCTTCAAGAAGGGAAAAAAGGATGACCCAAACAACAACCGTCTGGTCAGCCTCACGTCGATACCGGGCAAGATTCTGGAAAAGATTGTTAAGGAAGTGGTCTGCAAACACTTAGAAACAATGCAGTCATCGCTAATAGTCAACATGGATTTATCAAAAACAAGTCATGCCAGACTAATCTGATCTCTTTTTTCGATAGAGCTACAAGCTGGGTAGATGCGGGGAATGCCGTGGATGTACGTACCTGGATTTCAGTAAGGCCTTCGACAAGGTCCCCCATGACCTTCTGGCAAGGAAACTAGTCCAATGTGGGCTAGGCAAAACTACGGTGAGGTGGATCTGTAATTGGTTAAGTGGACGCAACACAGAGAGTGCTCACTAATGCTTCCTCTTCATCTTGGAAAGAAGTGACGAGCGGAGTGCCGCAGGGTTCGGTCCTGGGCCCGGTCCTGTTCAACATCTTTATTAATGACTTAGATGAAGGGCTAGAAGGCATGATCATCAAGTTTGCAGACGACACCAAATTGGGAGGGATAGCCAATAGTCCAGAGGACAGGAGCAGATTCAAAACGATCTTGACAGATTAGAGAGATGGGCCAAAACTAACAAAATGAAGTTCAACAGTGGCAAATGCAAGATACTCCACTTTGGCAGAAAAAATGAAATGCAAAGATACAGAATGGGTGACGCCTGGCTCGAGCAGTACGTGTGAAAAAGATCTTGGAGTCCTCGTGGACAACAAGTTAAACATGAGCCAACAATGTGATGTGGCTGCAAAAAAAGCCAATGGGATTTTGGCCTGCATCAATAGGAGCATAGTGTCTAGATCTAAGGAAGTAATGCTACCCCTCTATTCTGCTTTGGTTAGACCACATCTGGAATATTGTGTCCAATTCTGGGCACCACAATTCAAGAGAGATATTGACAAGCTGGAATGTGTCCAGAGGAGGGCGACTAAAATGATCAAGGGTCTGGAGAACAAGCCCTATGAGGAGCGGCTTAGGGAACTGGGCATGTTTAGCCTGAAGAAGAGAAGGCTGAGAGGATATGATAGCCATGTATAAATATGTGAGAGGAAGCCACAGGGAGGAGGGAGCAAGCTTGTTTTCTGCTGCCCTGGAGACTAGGACGCGGAACAATGGCTTCAAACTACAAGAGAGGAGATTCTATCTGACCATGAGGAAGAACTTCCTGACTGTGAGAGCCGTTCAGCAGTGGAACTCTCTGCCCCGGAGTGTGGTGGAGGCTCCTTCTTTGGAAGCTTTTAAGCAGAGGCTGGATGGCCATTTGTCAGGGGTGATTTGAATGCAATATTCCTGCTTCTTGGCAGGGGGTTGGACTGGATGGCCCAAGAGGTTTCTTCTAACTCTTTGATTCTATGATTCTATGATTCTATGATTCTATGATTCCATAGTATGGAGTCATGGCAGTTCAAGTGGATCACACTACATGGATTCTGGAGCGTAAGTGCACCCCATAAGAAACTCTGGGGCCTCTGTTAGGTGCTGGTGGCTGCTGCTGGGCTCCTCCAGACTGGGGGTTGCTGGCAGCAATTCTTTGGAGTGATGGTTAAGTTGGTGTGAACCTACAGAATGCTCCGCTGCAGATCAATGTTGCTCAAATCAATGTAGCCGGGGGGCGGGGGGGGGGGGGTCTTTTGAGTTTGATAACAGATGTTTTTGGGCAACTTGAAAGAACATTTCTAATACTCTGCTAATTATTTTTTGTGCATTGGCATGTCTTTGTCCCTTACAGTTCCAAGACATACCTAGGTTATCAGTTTAACAGCTGAGAGCCCTAGTTGCCTTGCACAAATGCTTGTGAACAACTTTTTTCAAAGGGTTGCGACTTCTAACAAGGTCATGCCTTTCCTTGACTAGTGGTTTTCCAAAAAAGTGGTTTCCAGGTGGTCATGGAGATTCACATTTTCAAAAAGGTTAGTCTCAGCAACATGGCTTGTCCATAAAGCTGGTGTTTTGCTTTGTAAGTGAGGCCCATCACAGTAAATAACAAACAGTGGTCTTCTATCAAGGCCAAGAATGTGACTAACATATCACCTAGTTTGCTCCTCAGCGGTGCTGAATGAATGGCTCCAAGTAAGTTCAGTTTCTAGGGTCTGCTCAGGAGTAAACAACTTCTTGGGAAGAACATGACAGAGGATTTGCTTCTCTTGTCACTTATTGCAAGAGGAAAGTCAAAACAATCATTTCCTGGATTGATTTATTGATGTTGTTTGACTAATTCAATTGCTCAACTTAGAAGCAAAGCTTTCTCCGTTTGGAACCGGGACTTATAGGCATGAGTGATTCTGCAGGGAGAACACACGTGAGTTGTATCCAGCCATAAGCAGACATGGATATGATACCATGTTGATGTACTCTGTTGTTTCATCCCAGCCATTCTATACAAGGCCATCTAGATCCTGCTTGTCCACCTTGGTCAGTCCTGCAGGGAATCTATGGTTCTCAGTCAGAGAAGGTTCTTTCCTTTCCTCTGAGTCCTGATCCTTCTAACTGAAGATCCCAAGGATCAATCCTGGCCCATATATTCAGGCAAAATTACTTCCACTGACCTTCGGCTATGGACCCTTTCACGCAGCAACCTTCTTTGTGGTGATGTAAGCTCTTCTAGCTATTGTCATCACAGGCAGTTGTCATCTTCATATTTTATAATAATATCTACAATATCAATGGATGCTGCTGCATTTGCTCCTTTCATGAGGTTGCATGTTCCCAAGATATGAAGTTCCAGTACAGCCAATGGCTCTGGGGCAGATTTGCATGAGGTCTTCCTCCTTCGGCTCAGGTTGAATTGAAAAAGGAAGGAAGGAGGAAGCTCCTGGACAAGCCTTCGTGCATTTCCGAAAGCACAACTTCTTTGGAGAGCTCATCATGGCCCAGGTCTTGCTGTTCATGGTGCTTCTCAATTACTATGCTGGTAAGGCAGAGAAGGATTTTAGACCATCCCTAAAGGGTAACAAGGCAAAGGCAGATGAACCAACCACATTTCAATTTGTTCCTCTCTTTTGTCAAAGGTGTCCATTCTCAGGGAACATTGACTCAGTCATCTTCTGTTTCTGTGTCCTCGGGACAGACAGTCACACTCTCCTGCACCAAAGACAGTGGAAGCTGGGGCAGCTATGCCAGTTGGTATCAGCAGAAATCTGGAGAGGGCCCTCGCTTTATCCACTGCAATGGCTGCAGCAGAGGTGACAAGATCTCGGATCGGTTCACGGCAACTGCTTCTGGAAACACAGGCTCTTTAACCATCACAAATATTCAGGCCGGAGATGAAGCCGATTATTACTGTGGGTGGTGGTACAGCACAGGCAGCTCATATCACGGTGGTCCATTCTCATGGGGAAGTGAAACAAAAACTGTCAGTTCTCCTCCCAAGAGGAAGAAAGTCAGAGATTCTGGAGAGCTGAAGAGCTGAAGATGTTGTGCCAGTTTTTGAATAGAGTGCACGATTCTATCTCGTCTTTCTACACTTTTAAAAAGAAATACTTAATTGAGGCTGAATAACTTCCTGTTTCAGGAGTGCCACCAAAAGTCAATCTGATTGCTGATCAAAACACCCTTTCACCTTTTGGACCAGTAACTTGTAGGCTGTTAGGTGCCTTTTAAGTAATTCAGAGCCACAGGGTTGGGAGTGCAGCAAACCTAATGCCTATTGAAGAGCAGGAGGAACACGTTGGAGACTTTGAGGGCATCTACACTGTAGGATTAATAACATTAGACTCCACTTGAAATGCCATGGCTCCAGAGTGTGGAATCCTTGGAGTTGCAGGTTCTTTGCTTTCTCTAGACAAGAGTTGTTTGCCTCATCAAACAACAACTACCAGGATTCCATAATATGGAGTCATGGCAGTTCAAGTGGGTCAGACTACACAGTTTCTGGAGCAAAAATGTACCCCATAAGGAATCTGAGGCCTCTGTGCTAACCCTAAGCCACACCTGTTTTTTGTCCCTCAACTCCTGTTTCACTAGATCAAAGGTAGTAGCTGCAACAATGGGAAGCTCAAGATCCATGGATATCCAGCCCTGCTGGACCAACCAAGGTGGACAAACAGGATCTAGATAGGGTTGCTGTAGGTTTTGTCAGGCTGTATGGCTATGTTCTAGAGGCATTCTCTCCTGACATTTCACCTGCATCTATGCCAAGCATCCTCAGAGGTAGTGAGGTCTGATCTAGATAGCCTGGTATAAAATGGCTAGGATGAAACAACAGAGTGCATTACTGAAATCATGGAGGAATTTAAAAGGGTTTGGCCCTGAAGGAGAGACCCTGCGGCCCCACCAAAGAGGGATCGCTACAATGGTGAGCAAAGAGAAGCCCAATTTTAAAATAATTGTTTTTCCTTAGGTTCCGAAAAAGAATCTCACCAAGGTTGAAGGAAGCACCACCGAGATGATTTATTAGCGATTCAGCTGAAAAGGATGCAGAGCAGCAATATTTCACCAAGCTAAGCATGCATTAGTACAATAAAAGCCATTTTTATAGAAAAACAGAGTTGTCCAGTTTGAATCTCCCGCTGCCTGCCCTCCGCCCGACTTGAAGGTGATTGGCTGGCACTTCAACAGCTGGGCGGAGGCTCGGCTGCCTCTCGAGCGCCTGGGCCAATCACAAGGCTTCTGCTGCATGCCTGGGCCAATCAGAGGGCTTCTGCTGCCTAGGCGCTTCAGCGAATCAGGAGGGAGGGAGGCGGGACGAGGGAATACAATGCATTCTTGAGTGGATTATGGAAGTTCAGGAAATGTCCAGGGGGGTGGCGAGTCCTAAAAAGGCCTTCGAGCTAGCCTCCTATTGTTCTTGGAGTGGTCCTAATAAACATTGATGTTGGTGATACCGCCATAATCCGGATTTTCTTCTATGCCAAGACAGAGGAACAATAGGGGCAACTTTGAGTGGATGCTTTTTGGTAGAGAGATTGAATGGTTGACAGTTCCGGGTGAGGTACAGCTTTCCGAAGGCTCCCCCTGTCCCTTTGTAATTTAATCAAAATTGCCAAGCGGCTATTTCCTCTGGTGGCCAAAACCTCCGAGGCCAGGGGTCACGAACCTTTGTTATAGTCCATGCAAGGAGTGTCTTTTGATAAGGGTTCTTTCAACTGCTAATTTCTTCCTTTCCAGGGTCAGGGCGACTTCCTTATATTTTTATACATTTTTTCCAAAAAGGGGAATGGGGCAAAAAAGGGTCAGGAAATGGTCAGATACACAGGGGGGAAATATGAAAATAGAAAAATCATGATACAGAGAATATATCCCCTTATCCCTCCCACCAGAGTCCCATAGAAGTTCAAAAGAGCACATAAGTGTAAAGGGAGGCGGTTTCTCAGTAATAAATGTGCTACCTTCTGCTATATATGAAACCTAGGGCATAAAACCTTGATTCAATGTACACACTATCTAACATGGGAAGGGTCCTTGCTGTTGTTAGTATCTTGGCAAATTGACCAAGGCTTAACCCTTATTATCCAGTCTGGTGTCCTTGTCCTTAGCAAAACTATAAGTTACTATCTTTTATGGGGGGGGGGGGTGTCATGTTCGACTTCATTAACATGGCATCATATCCATGCCTGCTTATAGCACCATTGGCTGGATACAACTCATGTGTATTCTCCCACAGAATCACTTGTGCCTATGACTCCTGGTTCCAACCAGGGAAAGCTGTGCTTCCAAGTTGAGCATTTGAATGGGTCAAATAACATCAACATCAAAAATTTAGTCCAGGCAGCGATTGTTCTGGCTTTCAATAAGTGGCAAGAGAAGCAAATCCTCTGCCATGTTCATTCCCGTTCAGATATTTCCTCCTAAGCAAACACTAGAAACTGAACTTACTACGTGCTGTTCATTCAGTACCCCAGAGGAGCAAACTAGGTGATATGTTGGTCACATTCTTAGCTGGGATGGAAGACCTCTGTTTGTTATTGACTGTGATGGGCCTCACTCACCAAGCAAAACACCAGCTTCATGGGCAAGCCACATTGCTGAGATTAATCCAAGGTGGAAATGCGAAAGAGGTCCATTTCAGCTAATGTTCTGCACTCCCTTGAAGAATGAATTGTTTCTCCAGAGTCTCAGGCAGAGAAGCTTTTTTACCCCGTCTCTGAGACTTGATCCTTCTAAGTGGAGATCCCAAGGATCAATCCAGGTCTATGTTGTTGTGTTGTTCATTCGTTCAGTCGTCTCCGACTCTTCGTGACCTCATGGACCAGCCCACGCCAGAGCTCCCTGTTGGCCGTTACCACCCCCAGCTCCCTCAAGGTCAGTCCAGTCACTTCAAGGATGCCATCCATCCATCTTGCCCTTGGTCGGCCCCTCTTCCTTTTGCCTTCCACTTTCCCCAGCATAAGTGTCTTCTCTAGGCTTTCCTGTCTCCTCATGATGTGGCCAAAGTACTTCAACTTTGTCTCTAGTATCTTTCCCTCCAGTGAGCAGTCGGGCTTTATTTCCTGGAGGATGGACTGGTTGGATCTTCTCGCAGTCCAAGGCACTCGCAGAACTTTCCTCCAACACCACAGCTCAAAAGCATCGATCTTCCTTCGCTCAGCCTTCCCTAAGGTCCAGCTCTCACATCCGTAGGTTACTACAGGGAATACCATGGCTTTGACTAGGCGGATCTTTGTTGCCATTCTGATGTCTCTACTCTTTACGATTTTATCGAGATTGGACATTGCTCTCCTCCCAAGAAGTAAGCGTCTTCTGATTTCCTGGCTACAGTCTGCATCTGCAGTAATCTTTGCACCTAGAAATACAAAGTCTGTCACGGCCTCCACGGTTTCTCCCTCTATTTGCCAGTTGTCAATCATTCTTGTTGCCATAATCTTGGTTTTTTTGACGTTTAGCTGCAACCCGGCTTTTGCGCTTTCTTCTTTCACCTTGATTAGAAGGCTCCTCAGCTCCTCCTCATTTTCGGCCATCAGAGTGGTGTCATCTGCATATCTGAGGTTGTTAATGTTTCTTCCAGCAATTTTCACCCCAGCTTTGCATTCATCCAGCCCCGCACATCGCATGATGTGTTCTGCATACAGAAAAGGTTGGGTGAGAGTATGCAGCCTTGCCGTACGCCTTTCCCAATCTTGAACCAGTCTGTTGTTCCGTGGTCAGTTCTTACTGTTGCTACTTGGTCCTTGTACAGATTCCTCAGGAGAGAGACAAGGTGGCTTGGGGTGCCCATCCCACTAAGAACTTGCCACAATTTATTATGATCCACACAGTCAAAGGCTTTAGAATAGTCAATGAAGCAGAAGTAGATGTTTTTCTGAAACTCCCTGCCTTTCTCCATTATCCAGCGGATATTGGCAATTTGGTCTCTCGTTCCTCTACCTTTTCTACCCAGCTTGAACATCTGGCAACTCTCGCTCCATGTATTGCTGGAGTCTTCCTTGCAGGATCTTGAGCATTACCTTACTGGCATGAGAAATAAGGGCCACTGTACGGAAGTTTGAGCAGTCTTTCGCATTTCCCTTTTTTGGTATGGGGATATAAGTTGATTTTTTCCAGTCTGATGGCCATTCTTGTGTTTTCCATTTTTGCTGGCATATGGCATGCATCACCTTGACAGCATCATCTTTTAAGATTTTAAACAGTTCAGCTGGGATCCCGTCATCTCCTGCTGCCTTGTTGTTAGCAATGCTTCTTAAGGCCCATTCAACTTCACTCCTCAGGATGTCTGGTTCTAATTCATTCACCACACCGTCAAAACTATCCTCAATATTATTATCCTTCCTATACAGATCTTCTGTATAGTCTCGCCACCTTCTCTTGATCTCTTCAGCTTCTGTTAGGTCCCTGCCATCTTTGTTTCTTATCATACCAATTTTTGCCTGAAATTTACCTCCAATGTTTCTAATTTTCTGGAAGAGGTCTCTTGTCCTTCCTATTCTGTTGTCTTCTTCCACTTCCATGCATTGCTTATTTAAAAATAGTTCCTTATCCCTTCTGGCTAACCTCTGGAATTGCGCATTTAACTGGGCATATCTCCCCTTATCCCTGTTTCCTTTTGCTTTCCTCCTTTCTTGGGCTACTTCCAGTGTCTCAGCAGACAACCATTTTGCCTTCTTGGTTTTCTTTTTCTTTGGGACGTACTTTGTTGCCGCCTCCTGAACAATGTCTCGGACTTCTGTCCATAGTTCTTCTGGGACTCTGTTTACTAAATCTAGTCCTTCGAATCCGTTCTTCACTTCCACTGTATATTCGCTAGGAATGTTAGTGAGATCATATCTAACTGGTCTGTGTATTTTTCCTGATCTCTTTAGTTTTATTCTAAATTGGGCAATAAGAAGTTCGTGATCTGAGCTACAGTCAGCCCCAGGTCTTGTTTTCACCGACTGGATGGATGTCCGCCACCTTTGGCTGCAAAGGATGTAGTCAATCTGATTTCGGTGTTGACCATCTGGTGAGGTCCATGTATAAAGCCGTCTTTTAGGTTGTTGGAAGAGAGTATTCGTTATACACAGCGAGTTTTCCTGGCAAAATTCTATCAGCCTGCGTCCCGCTTCATTTTGTTCCCAGACCATGCTTGCCTGTGATCCCAGTTGTCATTTGACTTCCCACCTTGGCATTCCAGTCTCCTGTAATGAAAATAATGTCTCTTTTTGGTGTATTATCCAGTAGGTCCTGCAGATCCTCATAGAACTGATCTACTTCTGCTTCTCAGCAGCTGTGGTTGGGGCATATATTTGGATCACTGTAATGTTGAAAGGCTTTCCTTGCACTCGAATTGAGATCATTCTGTCATTTTTTGGGTTGTATCCAAGCACCGCTTTAGCGAATTTCTTATTAATTATGAAGGCTACTCCATTTCTTCGATGTTCCTCTTGTCCGCAGTAGTAGATTTGGTGGTCATCTGATGTGAAGTGGCCCATTCCAGTCCACTTCAGTTCGCTGACCCCCAGAATGTCTATCTTTAGTCTTGACATCTCGCCAATAACAACATCCAATTTGCCCTGGCTCATAGATCTTACATTCCAGGTTCCTATGGTCTATATCCATATATATTATATATATATATAATCCAGGTCTATATCTTGGGGCAAAATCACCTCCTCTGACCTTTGGCTATGGACCCTTTCACCTAGCAGCCTTCTTTGTGGTGATGCAACATCTCCTAGGCATTGTCATCATGGGCAATGACCATCTTCATATTTTATAACAATATATATCATGTGAATTGCTGCTCCTATATTTAGTTCTGTCATGAGCTTGCACATTCCTGAGATATGTAGTTACAGCACAACCAATAGCTCTGGGGCGGATTTGCATGAAGGACTTCCTCTTCAGCTCAGGTTGAACTGAAAAGGAAGGGGGAAGCTCCTGCACAATCATTGGTGTATTTGTGATAGCCCAACCCTCTGGAGAGCTCATCATGGCTTGGACCCTGCTGTTCTTGGCGCTTTTCAGTTTCTATGCTGGTAAGGTAGAGAAGGGTTTTAGATCACTCTTAAAGGGCAACAAGGCAAAGGCGAATGAATCAACTGCATTCCCATTTGTTCCTCTCTTTTGTCAAAGGTGCCCATTCTCAGGGAATGTTGACCCAGCCATCTTTAGCATCTGGGTCCCCAGGACAGACAATCACACTCTCCTGCACCAAAAGCAGTGGCAACTGGAACAGTGAAGTCTACTGGATTCAAGAGAAATCCGGAGAAGCTCCTTGCATTGTTCACTGCAATGGCTGCAGCAGGGGAGCAGGGATCCCGGATCGGTTTACGGCAACTGATTCTGGGAATACAGGTTCTTTAACCATCACAAATGTTCAGGCTGAAGACGAGGCCGATTATTATTGCATATGTTGGTACAGAACAGGTAGCATGTCTCACAGCAGTCCATTCTCATGGGGAAGTCTGACAAAAATGTGTCTTCTTCTCCCAAAAAGAGGAAAGCCAGAAACCATTAAGAGCTTATCCTGAAGATGTGCAGGTTTTTGAGAAGAATGCACGATTCTATCCTTCTCGCTACACTTTTTTTAAAAAAAAGAAACGAACAACCTCCACTGAGGCTAGAGATCCCTAAAGAGGTGTTCTCTCAGTTAAAGAATTATTATTATTGTTATCATTATTACTTTTTATCCTGCTTTGTCTCTCCACAACGAGACTCAAAGCAACTTACATTAAAAGCATAAAAAAAATGATTTTCAGTTTTCCACTTTTGCAAGTATGTTGTGACCCGAACACCAGCAAAAGTGCAGTGCTGACCTTAGTTCACAATTTTGCTGCTTTATACTACTGATAGTTCATGTGTCGCCTGCTCTCCTGGCTTTGTCCTTTAGAGGGAAACCTTGTTCCACCTTCCCACCAGAGAACCTGATGGCCAACCTCAGAGACTCAGCTCGCCCTGTACCTTCGGGTGATGTGAAGCAGGAGAATATTCATGAGGCTTAGCTGCTCTACCAGAGCGTTTTAATTTATTTCTACATTCAGCTGGGGGGCTGCCAAGCTAGTCCCTTTACTACAAAGTTCATGGTCTGAGATCAAGACAAAAGTTGGGAGCCTAGAATTGCTTGACACTCAGAACCAGATTCTGGGAAACCCAGGAGCTGGAATGGTTTTCATGGTGTCATCTCTTGGATATCTGTCTCTTGAACATCTTGCTGGTAGGCTTCCCATTGGAATGTCAACTTTACCACTGTGGGAACCAAATGTTGGACTAGGGAGCCTTTAGTCTTGGTATCTTATTGGATCTTATATTTCTGGGGTGTTCTAATGGAACTCTTTTGACCATTTCACATTCAGCTGGGTTGGGGTCAAGGGCAAATTGAGCATCCCTCCTGGTTTGGATCTCAAATGTGGAAAGAAAAAGGAATGTCTTGATTTCCTTTCTCACTGATCTTTCTAATTCTCAGGTTTGAGACATTCTGTTGTTCTGACCCATCTGTTCACATGATATGATATGTCAGAGTGGGGCTCTTACAAGAATGAGAAGAAGTCTTGGTTTGATGCCATGTTCAAGCATCCTGTTGTTTCTAGAATCCCCTGAAGCCATTTTATACCAGGCGATCTAGATTCTACATGTCCACTTAGGTTAGTCATGCAAGGCTAAGCCTGTCCGGTTTGCCAGAGTCTCAAACAGAGAAGGTTCTTCTCCGCTTTTAGATCTGATCCTTCTAACTGGAATGCTAAGGAGTAATCTTGACCCAGATCTTCATGCAAAACCACCTCATTTGCCCCAGGGCTATGGGTCCTTTTCCACAGCAGCCGTTTTTCTGGTTATGTAGCCTCCCCCTGTTCATTGTCATCCTGGGCAATGGACATCTCCATATTTTATAACATCTATTATGTCAATGGATGCTGCTGTGTTTGCTTTTGTCATGGGGTTACACATTCATGAGATATGAAGTTCCAGCACAGCCAATGGCCCTGGGCCAGATTTGCATGAGGGCCTCCTTCTTCAGCTCAGGTTGAATTGAAAAAGGAAGGAAGGGGAAACTCCTGGACAAGTTTTGGTGTGTTTCAGATAACTCAACCCTGTTGGAGGGCTCACCATGACTTGGTCCCTGCTGTTCTTGGTGCTTTTCGATTTCTATGTTGGTAAGGCAGTGAAGGGTTTTTGATCATCCCTAAAGGGCAACAAGTCAAAGGCAAATGAACCAATTGCATTTCCATTTGTTCCTCTCTTTTGTCAAAGGAGTCCATTCTCAGGGAATATTGACTCAGCCGGCTTCAGTGTCTGGGTCTCCGGGACAGACGGTCACACTCTCCTGCACCAAAGGCAGTGGAAGTTGGGTCAGCTATGTCAGTTGGTATCAGCAGAAATCTGGAGAAGGCCCTCGCTTTGTTCATTGTAGTATCTGTGGCAGCAACAGGGGACCAGGGATCCCGGATCGGTTCACGGCAACTGCTTCTGGAGACACTAGCTCTTTAACCATCACAAATGTTCAGGTTGGAGATGAAGCTGATTATTACTGTGCGTGGTGGTACAGCACAGACAGCTCGTATCACGGTAGTGCATTCTCATGGGGAAGTAAGACTAAAACTGCAGCTTCTCCCCCACCCCAAGAAGAGGAAAGTCAGAAGCTCTGAAAAGCTTAGCATGAAGATATTGCCCTTGTTTTCAAAAAGAAAGGATGTTTTCTTCTTTCTCTCTCTTCTCTCTCTCTCTTCTCTCTCTCTTTAAATATAAAAAATCCATAGAGGGTAGACTGATAATTGTCCTGTTTCAACAGCATCACTGAATGCCAAGCAGATTGTTGATCAAGACACCCTTTCCCTTGTCGGGCGAGTAACTTGCTGGTTGTGCAGTACCATTTAAGTGACTCAGAGCGACAGGGCTGGGAGATTGAGTTCAGAAAAATTGGGAGCATTTACACTGTAGACGTCATGCTATTTGACCCCAACTGAACTCCCTAGTTCCATGCTATGGCATCCTGGGAGTTGGGTGCCTCATTCAACTGTGGAAGTGCAGCTAAACCATACAAATTCTACAGTATAGTTACACTCTGAAGGATATTGAGGCCTGGATTCTTCCTTTCTGCTCTAAACATAAGCCATGTCTTTGTTCTTGTCCTCCGTGCCCCGATTCTCCAGAAGCGAGAAGCTCAAGATAAAAGTGCAGCAAACTGACTATAATAGACCCCTTTCCCTTTCTCACCATCGGATAGTCTCAGCAACTGAAATTGCCTGTGAAGCTGGTGCTTCACTCAGAAACTGATGCCAATCACATGCCCTGACACCCAGTTCTTCCATCACATATCGGTCAGTTCAAGGACAGATAACAAGGTTTTGTTCTTTCCATTCATGTGTGTCATCCCCAATTTGTCCCAGTATAATCAATGCATCTGCATCTATTGTGTGTGTGTGTGTGTGTGTGTGTGTGAGAGAGAGATCCTGAACATTAACACCAAATCACATGTAGAAACAATGGCATGGAAGTCTTGCTTGGTGTGTTGTGGCTTCGCAGTTTATGCCTGGTGGTCTTTGGAAAAGGACCTAATCTGTGTGAACAAGAGTTCAATAGCAATGATGCTAGACATGTGTATAATAAAGACGTGTATGAGTCACACGAGAACTACTCAGGTTGAAATCCCTGATTGGTCAAGGACACCCTTGGGCAATTCACTTAGCCTTAGATGAAGGCAATGGCACAGTCCTCTCAACAGCTTTGGTGAGTTACAATCACCATAATCCATGAGTGACTTGAAGGTAGAGGACAATAGTTCATGAGATGATTCATGACCTGGTTGAAAACTTTATGGAGCAAGCAACTGTTGCTTCCACTTCACCAGTCAACAAAACTTCACCTTTGTTATGAAGTGAATTCAGGGCAATTTCATTTCACTTGGGTGATTCCAGCAGAACAATGGCATAACGGTACCCTTGGTGGGCAATCACTATCAAGAAACTGCTGATCTTGGAGAAATTCACCAAAATGCTCCCTTTTCAAATTGTGTTCTGCTTACAAATAGTAGGAAGAATTTATAATCCGGTTTCCGAATTCAGATTATCTGCTTTGAACTGGATTATAAGGGCCTACACTGCCACTGCAGATGAGACCTTGGAGGAACTGTATGTCCACAGATCTGAGCATCTAACAGAATTATGGGATGTTGAGAAGATACTGTTTGAGATAAAGCCATGGGGTTCTCTTTGAGGAATCTCCCCTTTTGGCTTACGAAGAGGGAGGCTCTTCAGCAGCCAATGAGCAAATGGTTGCTTTGCATATCAGGGAAGATCTCACAACTTGGAAGCAGCTTAAGACTGGAGGAGAGGCCACCATCAAAGGTGACATTTTCTTCACAAGCCAAGCAATCTTGATTTGTTTTTCGCAGTCATGGCTTGGGCCTCCCTTCTCCTGCTGCTTATTACATACTGCTCAGGTGAGTGGAGAAGGGTTCAATCATCTTCCCCTTTCCAAGTGAAAGATGATCTTCTTGAGCAACACTTAGCCAATATATTCATTCTGAGCCATGTTCCTCACTCTATACTTTGTTTTCCAGGCATTGCCTCACAGCCCACACTGACTCAGGTTCCTTTCCAGTCTGTGACTCTTGGAAACACAGTAAGACTTACAACCACTTTGAGCAGCAGCCATGCGAACTATGTTGTCTCCTGGTATCAGCAAAGAGAGGGCCAGGCTCCCCGGCTTGTCCTTGATACTAGCAACAACCGAGGCAGTGGGATCTCAGAACGGTTCAGTGGTTCCAAATCAGGCAGCGAACGTTATTTGACCATTACCAATGTCTTGGCAGAGGACGAGGCAACTTATTACTGTGCTGCGGACCATGGCTCTGGTAGTAGCTTTACGTAAGGCACAATGATACAATTGCAAGGGGAAGTGAGACAAAATCTCCTGAAGAAAGATGTTTCTCTATGGTATTCAAAAGTATTGACTTCAAAAAGGATGTGTGTGGGAGGAGGACCTGGCATCTTGAATATGTTGGACACGTTGCACTATTTTCATATGAGTCTCACTTAGAGATATAGACCTGCATCCCGTGTGTTAGTCCCGGATAGCGAGCATAGACATCTTGAATCAATGGGATTGACTTCTGAGCTGGCTCAAGATCTAACAGGGTCTATACAAAGAAATTGACAAAGTGATGAAGGCACATCACCCCCATTGTATATCAATCAGGTCACTGGCTAGGGAGTGCAGATGTGCATTGGGAAATTTTTCTGAGGTCTTGTTACACATCATCACAATTCACTCACAGCATTTTTTACTGCTTCTGCTACATAAAGTTACCCAACACCTTTACTCTCCAATATTTCCTTTTCACCTCCCAATACTGAAAGTGTAATGATAAAAAGCCATGGGAACAGCTTTTCACTGTGTGTTGAATTTGCTTGCCTGGTTCTTTTAGTTTGCAGAAATGGCATGCAAAGATTAATGTGATGCAAAGAGGAGCTGGTTGGGTGACCTGTCCATGAGAAGCCTTTTTCATTTCAAATTCCAAAAGATCAACCACTTCTAAATAATTTGTTCCAAATTTGTTTTCAAAAATCTTTTAAATTGGGTGGGATCATGTGTTCCATCTTTTCATTTTAATGGGATCTTATGTGATGCCTTTATTTCCACTTTGAATACACATTGATGCATGGGTTGTCATTGGATTCGATGAACCTTTTGGTCTTATTCAATGCTATGGACTTTTATGGAGAGTGGTGTCCATTTCCTTCCCTGTAAGCTGAGGCAGAGGTCACAGGGTCTCACTATGATGCTATGATGTGAAGCCAAGCGGGAGAATGACCACCTGCTGCAAGTTTTGCATTGGTTGTTGTGTAGGCCTCTCATGCATGGAGGCTGTATTTAAAGAACACCACATTTGCATGAAGCAGCTAATTTGTTATGCTGAGAGGGGTTTAAGAGAGAGCAGAAGTATGCCACTCTGTGATTCTTTTGCTTCTGGAAGATCTGCTTATTCATTCTCAACACAATGGCCTGGGCCCTCCTTCTCTTTTCAATCCTGGTCGCCTTTGGTGAGGGAATGACATGGGATGGGAGGGAATTCTTTGGGAAAATAGAGAATTGGGCACATTTGCAATGTCACTGTGGTGGTCCAAATGATTTCACTGCTTCTCTCGTTGCTTTGATACCTTCCAGATCCTAGTTTCCAGCAACTGCAGACCTTGAAGGACTCGGAATCGGTGGCCCAAGGGGGGACAGTCACCCTGTCATGCAGATACAATAGTGGAACCATTGGGGACAGCAACTATCCTTGGTGGACCCAGCATGTGTCTGGGAGTAAACCTCGGATGGTGATGCATAGCACCAGCACCCGACCCTCGGGGGTCCCGGACCGTTTTTCGGGGTCAAGGTCGGGGAATGTAATGTCCCTGACCATCACAGGTGCCCTGGCAGAAGATGAAGCCGTGTATTACTGTGTTGTATGGACAGGGAGTGAGTGACACAGTAGTTCATTCAGATAGGGAAGTGAGACCAAAACCTCTTCCTTTCATTCTGCCCTTTATTTGTGAGTTGAATCTGAGCTAAACGCCCTCCCCAATTCTTGCATCTCTTCTATGGACCTCATCACATTAGAGCATGGATCCACTTTAAATCTGGTTGCTGCCACCTGCAGAATTCTTAAGTTTTTAAAGTTTAAGGAGGGCCCTTTAAACTGCTCAGCCAGAAAGGTCCTGGGCCTCACGGGCTCCGTGGAGCACAGTTTGAGAACCCCTGGTTTAGAAAAATAAAATAAAATACACGCCATAAAGAAGCATATAATACAAAAAGCTGTTTTTCTCCAACAATCACATCTCACCAGGAAAGTGAACATGTATAATGGGATGTTTCAGAGCCTCGTACAATACATAGTGTACAATACATTATGATTCTTAATATTACTTTTATGCTCAAGAATTCTGATTGTAAGTGTCCTGGCTGTATGTCCCCTGTTTGGTTTATGACATGAACCCAGAATAATATAAACAACTCTCATAGAGTTACAATAAATAACATCTGTTTTAAAATTCTATTTTCATTGATGCTGGTATTAGAATAAATTAGTTATAAAAATATTATAAAAAGATATCATAAATAGATATTATGTAATATTATACATGATATTATAAAAAGAGCTCACAAATCTGTCTGCATGCTGAACCTTGGGTTTAGTTCTGAGAATAATTGTTAGGGGGAGATGTTGGCAAGCTTGGGCCCAAATTGGAAAAGATGGACTCGCATGACTGAAGCCAATGCCTCATGATGCCACCTGCACCTTTAAGGAGATGTGAAGCAGCAGAGCGTTGGTGACGGCTGATTTTTTGTGCAAGGACCTCCTTCTCACTTCTGCACAGAGATCCAATCCTGACAAGCACCTTTGCTTTGCTCAGATGAGACTCTGACCCCTAAACAACAAGTTCGTTATAATCTGGACAGAGCTTGGCTAACTCTGTATCTGATACCTATTGAGAGGCTAGTGTTGCCCTTCTGCCTTGTCTTCCCATAGGTATCTTGGGGGCCAATGCAGACCTTGAGTCTGATTTAGTCAAGGCTCTTGTTATGTACTCAACTGTAGGTCTAGGTGGGCTTCAATGGAGAGTATTACAATGCCTTTTCTTTTAGGGGATTTTTATATTTTATCAGACAGAAGAAAGTCTTCATGTTTTGCTTGGTAAGTTGTTCTAAATAGTGATGTTGTCCATATTGTTTAGAACAGCCCTCTAGTCCACGTCAGACAGCAGAGTGGTCTCCTACAAGACTGAGACAAATTATGGGTATGATGCCATGTTGAAGCACAGTGTTGTTTCTGGAATCCCCAGAAGCCATTTTACACTAGGCCATCTAGATCCTACTTGTCCACCCAGGCCATTTCTGTAGGGTTAGCATTTCTGGTTCTCCAGAGTCTTAGACAGAGAAGGTTCTTTCTTCTCTCTTAAGATCTTATCCTTCTTCTATCTGGAGATGCCAAAGTTCAATCCTGGCCCATTTCTTCAGGTGAAACTGTTGTGGCAGGGAAAAACTTCAGTAAAGGGAGAGGCAATACCAAGAGACATCCTTTCTGGAGATAAGAAAAGGTACGGCTTTATTTCCAGCTGGTGACTCTGGTGGACTCGCGTCCCAAAAAGCAAAACCAGAGCGTCCGATCAAGGTGCGGACTGCCCTTTTATAGATGCCAATCAGAGTGAAACAAAGAACATACATCTTCATACAATTTCATACAATATTGTCATTCCTACGTCATCCTAGCATCAAATTCTATCTCCTAACATGCAAAGCATGTCTGTGTCTTGCTGGAGAGCAAGCATGGAGTATTCCCCCTCCCTCTTGGCGGTGCTTACATTCATCAATCAAGAGGCCACTTTGAGATGTCAGGAGAGGGGAGGTGCTCCTATGCTCCCTAGTTAGAGCCTGGATGTACCAGCTAGGACGGGCTTATCTCTTGGAATGCAGAGATAACATTGCTGTGCCTGGACACAGCTTGCTTGTCAGCTTGGTTTCCTTACACAGAGCGAGAACTTGAAAATCCTATGCATTTCAGTGTTGTAAAATACATATAATTTTATGTATAAATCAATCAATAAATATCTATTTTTCCAATATCTCCTCATCAAAACCACATAGTCTGCCTCCTGAACTATGGACCATTTCCCTCAGCAACATCTCCTACAACTACCTACTGTCATCCTAGACAAGGGCCATATCTATGTTTTTGAAATTACCTCAACAACTACCTTATATGCAAATGGGTTCTGCTGAACTTTTTTGGGCTATGATGTCATGCTTTCCCCTGGGAGGCAGGGCATTCCAGAGCAGCCAATGAGCAAAATGCATGATGGGACCATCTTCCGCTCTGTGCAATTTAAAAAGAAACAAAGAAGTGTCCCAGAGAGTTGTCTGCCTGCGTCCCAAAGGCAATTCCTTCTGACAGCCACCATGTCTTGGGGTCTTCTCTTCTTGGTGCTCCTTCATTACTGGCCAGGTAAGGAGGAAAAGAAGTCACTTTCCATAGACACAAGTGCCAAGTGACCTGCAAAGTATTTTTCACAAAACCTGCTCAAAATGGACATATTCTAATTTTTATTTTTCCCCACATTATTTTTTTTCCTGTCCAGGTGCCCATTCACAGCCAACAGTGACTCAGCCAGCCTCTGTTTCTGTCTCTCTGGGAAACAGCATCCAATTCTCCTGTGTTACAAGCAGTGGCAACTGGGATGGTGTTTTTCGCTGGGTTCAACAAATATCTGGAGAGGTCCCTCGTTTTGTTCACTGTAATGGCTGCAACAGGGGACCAGGAATCTCAGATCGGTTCACAGCAACTGCATCTGGGAGCACGGGCACTTTAACCATCACAAATGTCCAGGCTGAAGACGAGGCTGATTATTACTGTGTGTCTTGGTATGGTTCTGCGAGCTTGTATCAGCACACGGTGGCCCATTCTCTAGAGGAAGTGAGACCAAAACCTTCCCTCTTCCCAGAGCGGTGCACTGAGACTCCTTGAAGGGTCCATTATGTTCAGCCTGTGATTCAGGAGCAGAAAAGCCCTTCACTTCCATCTCCTCCAAGAAGGTTTCACCACCTCTCCTACTACCTGCTCAGGCCAACATCCTCAATTTGTCTAGAATTATATTGGTTTCTTCATCAGGCAATCATAGTAAAACATTGTGCAGAGGACGCCATCTGGGGTCACATGTGTGGAAGTTGTAGCTATTGAGGCTAAACTGTGACCCCACAGAAGCATAGAAAGTGGCTGAGCCGAAATAACCAAAAATAATGTATCACAAAGATACAAAAAAAGCCATAATATTGTTTCTAGTGTCAGGACTGCCTCTGCCACTCAAGTGTTTTTTTGCCAACCCTGACCATGAGGGAGGCAACGTCCACTTTGAGAGGTGACAACATATGTTTCTTGCCTTTGCCTTCCTCTGAGGCTGAGAGAGTGTGACTTGCCTTAGGTCATCCCAGAGATCCCCATGTCCAAGTGAGTGTTCTCCAGGGTCTGAGTACAATGCTCAAACCAAATCAATTGTTCACATTCAGGCTATAAATTAAGATATTCACGATTTCTAAACAGAAATCAAATAAACACGCGTATTTATTTATTTATTTATTTCATCTACTTATACCCCGCCCTTCTCACCCCGGGGGGGACTCAGGGCGGCTTACAGGAAGGCACAATTAGATGCCCAAATCACACAACAAACAATACAAAATATAACAATTCAACAATTAAAATAAAACATCAATACCTAAAATCATAAAAACTATCTCATGTCAGAGTCCATATATCAGAGTCCATATATCCATTCCATTCCATTGTCCTTGTCTATCGACAGGTCCTTTAGTTAGTTGTCAGCATGGCCAAAAGCTTGGTCCCACATCCAGGTCTTTAGTTTTTTCCTAAACGCTAGAAGGGAAGTTGTCGATCTGATCTCCCCGGGGAGTGAGTTCCACAGGTGGGGGCCACCACTGAGAAGGCCCTGCTCCTCGTCCCCGCCAGCCTCACTTGTGCCACTGGCGGGGTCGAGAGCAGGGCCTCCCCAGAATATCTTAAACTTCGAGGTGGGATGTAGAGGGAGATCCGTTCGGACAAATACACTGGGCCGGAACCGTATAGGGTTTTGTAGGTCAAAACCAGCACTTTGAATTGTGCTCGGAATTGGATCGGCAGCCAGTGGAGCTGACGCAACAGGGGGGTGGTGTGCTCCCTGTACGCCGCTCCGGTGAGCAATCTGGCTGCTTCTCGCTGGACTAGTTGAAGTTTCCGAGCAGTCTTCAAAGGCAACCCCACGTAGAGTGCGTTGCAGTAATCCAACCGGGATGTAACAAGAGCGTGGACCACCGTGGCCAGATCCGACTTCCCAAGGTACGGGCGCAGCTGGCGCACAAGTTTTAATTGTGCAAAAGCTCTCCCGGCCACCGCTGAGACCTGGGGTTCCAGGCTCAGCGATGAGTCCAGGATCACTCCCAGGCTGCGAACCTGCGTCTTCAGGGGGAGTGTAACCCCGTCTAACACAGGCTGTAACCCTATACCCTGTTCGGCCTTCTGACTGACCAGTAGGACCTCTGTCTTGTCTGGATTCAATTTCAGTTTGTTAACTCTCATCCAGTCCGATACAGCGTAAATATGACTATACTGAATAGTACATTTAGAGTTTTGGTTGCCAATGCATTTTATTGGTACCTGAATTGTATGCCTTCCTGCTATACTTGCTTTGGCCTTTAGGAGGAAACCTTGGTCCACCTTCCCAGGATGGGATGAAAGGGAACCTGATGGCAACAACCTTGGGGGGAGGGGGTGGGGTGGATGTGAAGCAGGAGGAACTCCATGAAACTCAGCTGCTCTTCATGGAGGTGTTTTCATGTTGCTCATAGCTTAACTGTCTTGCTGGTTAGCTTCCTCTTGTAACATCAGTTTGATCATAGTTAGAACAAAATGTTGGGCTATTGAGGGGTGCTGTGTGGTTTCCAGGCTGTATGACCTTGTTCTAGCAGCATTTTCTCCTGATGTTTTGCCTGCATCTGTGGCTGGCCTCTTCAGAGGACCATTGAACTGATTTCTGCCATACCTAACTGGGTCTTCACTTTTGGCTTCAGGTGACCCCATTGCGGTGTTTTTCTGAGGCTAAGAGCATGTGGTATGCCCAAGACCACCTAGTGGGGTTTCCAAGGCCAGCCATCTCAAAAGTTGTAGTTCAATGCCATGTACGCAATGAGAATGGCTTACTAGGTTGCCCCCACTGCTTGCCATCTCTCATGACCCAGAAACTCCCTCCAGCAGTTTTTCTGGACATCATCTCAATCATAAATGACTCAAGCACTCATCCTCGTTGGGGCCAATCCCATTGTATTGGTCCCATAACCCCGATTGTGCAGAGGACAACAGGATCAATTCACAGGGCCACCTGCCCTTTGTACAATCACTTGGATATTAATCACATGACATGATTATCTGTATGCTGGGAGGTCATGTCCTGTTTTTCCAAAATTTCCCCTTTCCCAAGACTGGATCTGCTTATCCCGTTACTTTGGACAATAACCTGCATAAAACGCAATGGACATGGGCAACGTGGGTGCCAGATCCACCTTGATGGGTCACTCATCTACACAAAAGACATTTCATAACACGTATGGGACCTGATGGCCACTCTTTTTTTCTGTCCCTAGGCTGGGACAATGGCAATCTGTTCAGAAATCTGCATTCTTTTGTCTCCTGAACTTGAACCATCTTTGAGTTGTTCAATACGGACATCCTAACCCAATGTTTTGAAAGTTCTTCATCCCTGCAATCAGGCAAACAATGCTGATATCACCCTGAAGAGCGCCATGAGAAGTCCAGATCAAAGGGAAGACATGGAAGGTCTTTCACATAAGGACCACATTTGTGTGAGGAATTTGTGAAGGAAGAAATTATCTGTGGGAAGGACTTAGAGTCCTCACATTTCCCTGCAGAACTCAACACTTTTGAGAACTTAGTTATTCCTTACATTTCTCCATGGCTGCTCAGGTGCTGGTCAAAAAGAGCACTACTTCTATTGGTCCAAAGACATTATGCATTGGGGAATGGCTGCACCGGATAAATGTAAACCTTCCTGTGGGCATTTGCGAATAATCCCCTGTTGTTTGGAAGAGTATAGTTAAAGGGGAGCAGATTTGCATGAAGGTCCTGCCCTAATGTTTTGGGGAATTTAAGAGAAGTTGGTTAAGAAGAGCAGCAGATATCTCTTTGGTGGAGGAAGATCAACTCAACAGGTTTTCCAGAATGTTTCAGCTCTTGCTTCTCTTCACCATCCTCAGTTTTGTCGGTGAGGAGAGATTTGTGACAAAATGAGCTGAAAATGGTATGTTAATGCTAAAAGACTGAATATTTTCTCAATATCTGATGGGCTGCTATGTTCTATTCCAGGTCCAAGTGTCCAGCAGTTGCAGACCTTAAAGGACACAGAATCGGTGGCCCAAGGAGGGATGGTCACCCTGTCTTGCAGATACAATAGTGGAAACATTGGGGACGGCAACTACCCATGGTGGTCCCAGAAGATCCCTGGGAGTAAACCTCGCCTGGTGATGCATCACACCAGCACCCGACCCTCGGATGTCCCAGCCCGTTTTTCAGGTTCTAGGTCAGGCAATGTGATGTCCCTGACCATCACAGGGGCCCTGGAGGAAGACGAAGCCATGTATTACTGTGCTGTGGTGACAGGGAGTGGGTGCCACAGTCATTGACTCAGATGGGGAAGTGAGACCAAAACATAACTGCCTTGGTTTTGTTCAGCATCCCCTACCTGTCCTACACTCTGTTTTGAATTGAACGGAGGAGGCCTCAGACAAAAGCAGACAGAGACACTGAGCAGCATTAGAACCCTGAGAAAGCGTCTATCATTTTTGGTGAGGTAAATACCACCAACAAAATCCAGGTGTGCTGTAGGTGATATTTCAGAAGAAGGTGCAGGCGGAATCACCTCTGAGCATTCCTTGAGTGAGAAAACCTTATGAGAGTCATTGGGTTGCCAGAAGTTGACAGGCAATGCGAAGGCACACACATACAAATTTGTTTAAAATCCTTCTATCCCACCCATCCCTTATGAAAGATTGACTAGATCACTTTGAATGTGAACTTGAAACATCATGTCTCCAAAGGAGGGCAGCACAGTGAGGAGACTCAACACCTTTGAGAACCCACCAGGGTCTGGACTGGTTGTGTGAATCAACCCTTGAGGTGATCTGCAAATGGTGGAATTAAATCTTTTTCCACTCTAAAATGTGATGCAACAGCTGTTTTTCACCTCAGGTCTCCTGAACATCCAGGCTTAATCAATGGTTCCTGATAAGCCATGGTTCCTCTGGGAACAGAGGCACTTGACCCTGCCCTCAAATCTTTGAAAGCATGTGCAGAATGACCCCCACCCCCTACCCCTTGACAAAAAAGGAGCTCCAGAATTCACACATGTGGGTCCAGCCAATGCAAAGGGGGAAATAACAAACCGTAAACATTTGAAGTCCTGTTGTCCAATTTTTTTTTGTCGTGTCAGGAGCAACTTGAGAAACTGCAAGTGGCTTCTGGTGTGAGAGAATTGGCTGTCTGCAAGGACGTTGCCCACGGGACGCCTGGATGTTTTTGATGTTTTACCATCCTTCTGGGAGGCTTTTCTCATGTCCCTTCATTGGATTGTTGTCCAATGATGTTGAACAATGCTGGACTAGGACGAACCACTGCAAATATTTGCATAAAAAGGAGGAGAAGTTGGTTCCACCAAGGGAGATAAAGAAACAAGCACTGGGGAAATGCAGATAAGAGAAACAGACAGTGTGAAGGATTGTCAACATGTTGGTGCTTTGGGTCATTTTGTTCCTGACGCTGTGTGTTTTCGGTGAGGGCTTGAAATGTTTGGTTCCAGGACTGTGTTGTCTTTTCCGTCGTAAGCATCCACGCTGAGGCTATAATGCTCTCCTTTGTCTTTTTCAGGTTCTGAGTCCCAACTAGTTGTGACCCAACTGTCCTCCTTCTCTAAAACTCTGGGTTCGCAGGTGCTCTTGTGCTATGAACAATGGCTACAGCATCAGCTGGGAGAGAGCAAGGTGGTACCAGCAACAATCTGGTGCCCCCCCCCCCCGGTTTCTTTACCACTATTATACCAGTAGGGACCAAGGTAGGGGCTCAGGGGTCCCTGAGGGATTCAGCATCTCCCCTGATTCCTCCAACAACCTCTGGAATTTAGTCATTGCGGGAGTCCAAGCTGAAGATGAAGGAAACTATTATTGTGTTACATGGGACTACAGTAAGACTGGGTATCACAGTGATCTGTCCTTATGGGAAACCGAGACAAAAATGTCTCACTTCCCATGCATTAGAGGATGATGGAGAACAGATATTTTGCTGGAAAGCATGCCTTCTGGTGCTCAACCCTGGGAACCTTCCATCCACTATTTGAAGTTCTCCTCCAACATTTATAGTAAAAGCATTTTCTTGTGCTTTTGCTGTCCTGCATACTTCAACAACCCAGGAGGATTCCTGAACATGACGATATGCTAGGATGCAACAGTAAACCTCATTGGATAATGTAGCACACCAACACCCAACCCTTGGATGTCCCGGTAATTTTTTGGGTTCTAGATCACAGAACGTGATGTCCCTGAGCATCACTGGAGGAAGATTAAGCCGTTTATCACTGTGCTGTGGTGACAGGGAGTGGGTGCCACAATTGTTGACTTAGATGGGGAAAGTGGTTTTGTTCGGTATATTCTACTTGTCCTACCCTTTGTTTTGAATTGAATGGAGGAGGTCTCATAGAAAAGCAGACGGAGACGCCAAGCAGGATTAGAACTCCGAGAAAGCTTCTATCATTTTTAATGAAATAAATACCACCAACAAATTCCAGGTGTGCTGTAGGCAATATTTCAGAGGAGGGCGCTGGCAGAATTACCTCTGAGCATTCCTTGAGTGAGAAAACCTCATGAGATTTATAGGATCACCAGAGGTTTACAGGCAACACAAAGGCACACATATACACAATTTGTTAAAAATCCACTATCCCACCCATCCCTAGCCAAAGATTGACTAGATAATTATGAATGTGAACTTGAAACATCTTGTCTCCAAAGGAGGGCAGCACAGTGAGAAGAGTCAACACATTTGAGAACTCACCATGGTCTGGACCAGGGGTCCTCAATAGGGCTGGGCAACCACGGAAAAATTTGTTTCTAAACTCGATTCGTTTTTAGGGGGTTTTTGCGTTTTTTTTAAAAAGAATTCGAAATTTTTCTTTAAAAAAGTTCGACATTTACGAAATTTCGGAAATTACGAAACAATTTCGAAACAATAACGAATCGATTCGTTAATGGCGGACGCGATTGCGCAATACGCTAAAAAACCCTCCAAATGGGACAGGGGGAACTTCTGAAGCTTCCCTCTCCCTCTGTTGTTGACTGTTGGTGTGATAATTTATTTTTTTATCACTGATAAAACAAACAACAACTATAAAACTTGCACCAGACATATGGAAATAATAACGAAATAATAACGAAACAATTTCGAAACAATTACGAAACAATTACGAAACAATTACGAAATAAATTTTAAAAATTCGTTTCAATTTTTAGTTGCTCCTGAATGGTTCAATATCGGATCGTAAGCCACTTTAAATACGAATTATTAACGAATTACGAAATTAACGAACAAAACCGCCCAGCCCTAGTCCTCAAGCTTTTTAAGCAGCAAGCTGGTTCACAGTCCCTCAGACTGTTGGGGGGGGGGGCAGTTTGATCTCATTCTAACTGCTGTTGAAGACTTAAAATTTGATCCCACTAGAACCCGCCCCTTTGCTAGCATCTCAGCATTTCCATGGGAATGACATGGTGAAGGGGCTGGGCTTTCCCCCTCATTGGCCACATCTGTCCCGTGGGCCCAATGCCGTGCAGGCCTGCTCTAGACACACCCTAAGTACCTGGCTGTAGTTTAGCCCTCCGCTTCCGATCAATCCTAACAATATTTAGATAGTTTTGAAATATTCTTCCCAGCTATACTAAACAGTCATGACTGTGCTGTATTGTAGAGTGACTCGCAATGATGGTCTGTGTATTGGTATAAAAGCCTTCACATTCTGGTTGGTGGTTAGTTTCCCCGGAATGAAAGAAAATACCATAATATGGTAGTGGCCTATGGCTCATTTGGAAAAGAAACTGTTTGCAGTTCTTTCCTTCTCTGGGTTGGCTGCAGGCAGATATTTACCCTGGTACAGGCCCGTAGCCAGGATTTTGATTCGGGGGGGGGGGGGGGGGGGGGGGGCTGAGTCTGAGTGAAAGAGGGTCTATCCTAGCAAACCTTTTGTACTGTTACCCCAATACCCCCATGCATATGGAATATATTGAGCATGGTGATCAGATCATGATATGATTAAAATAACTGTTGAAATAATGTACCAGTAAGGACTTCTTGCGAACCATCATGAGAATTTCATAGCTACATGCCTGCCCTGGGAGAATTACTGACAGAGCGCCACCCCCAAAAGGAAACCACAGAATCACTCCATGTGGGCTGTGGTTGCGGTAAGGAAGCTCTGGAAGAGCTCTGCCAGAGGGTTGGTGGTTTTCCTTTATTGTGCCAAATAGCTTCTTGTTCCATTACTAGAAAACTGAAGGAAGGAACACCAGCAGTTTAAGATATGCTATTGTACTAATAGCAGAAAGTAGCAGGAACTTGGAACAATGACTGAAGAATGCAAAGGCAGGTTTACAGATGGCTGAAGGAGAGCCAGGAGGGACCCATGTTGGCCTTCCTTTGGATTGGGTTCAAAGCTTGGGAGCAAGCACCAGGAAGGCCCTCCAGCCTATAGAGAGGAGGATCTCTTCCCATGGTCAAACCAGCTCACATAGGGATATTTTCATGTTTGTGTTTCTTCAAGTCACCTGTCAACTTATTGCCACCCCATGAATCTTACAACATTTTCATAAGCCAGGGATCCCAAGCCATGGTTTTCCCAGTTCCTTCCTCTTAAATAGAGCCTGCAGCATCTGGCTTTTGTTAGCAGGCTCTCATGCAAGTCCTAACCAGGGCTGACCATCCTTAGCTTCCAAGATCAGATGGGATCTGGTACCTTTTGGATGTTGAGGTCAAACATGAACTGTTGCTCAAATAGGTTGCTGTGAGTTTTTTGGGTTGTATGGCCATGTTCCAGTAGCATTTTCTCCTAATGTTTCACCTACATGCTAATGGCATCTCCAGAGATTCTGTCATTCAAATGGCCTGGAACCAAGCAGAACAGGGCTCTAGAGGCCATCAACAGCTTTCTGTAATACAACGCTTGGCATGTTTTTCCACACTATATTGTTTTTATTTGTAATTTGTTCTACTTTGCCAACTTCCTTGTGTGGAAAATGAATAAAGGGGTGGATAGAAGGATGGTATCTCTACTCTAAATCAAGGTCAACATGTGTCACTGTTTATATTACAACCTGACCACAACCTGATGGTTCCAAACATGCATTCTGGCATTAGCCTTTGTATCAGCTGCTCAAGGGTCTCAATGAAAAAAATCTCAGCATTATCTGGGTATGATAACCGTCCTCGCTGCTTATGGTTACTTTAAAGCTAATTGTATTGTTTTAATTTGCTTCTGTAAACTGCTCCGAGCCAAATTGGGAGTAGCGATATCTAAGTTAAATAAATAAATAAATAAAAGCTCTTGATGGAATGTCTCTGGGAGAGCACACTGCACAATCCTATATAT